ATTTTGTGGTATCAGAGCCTAGGTTAATTTAAGAGCCTAGGATTAGTCTAGAACTTGGCTAGCAATGAATGATAGGAACATGGTGAGGTATGAGAGTGGGGTTGATTAAAGGCACTTGTTTGATTCCTTCCTTAATATGGGTTGGTTTCTTTTGTTTGATATTTTTGTGTTGCTTGGTCCCGGAAGTGGAAACTTGCCAGGAAATTTCTCGTTGGAACAATTGATTAATAGTCTATAAACCATCAACGGCCCAACGTGCTTGTCCTACTCAGCTTACTTGCCACGTTTGTGGGAAGGTTGGGCACACCCGAGATCAATGCCACACAGCTACTAGGGCTTGCTTCAAATGTGGCAAGCAGGGACACCGAATTGCAAATTGTCCACTGCTAGACCCCAAAGCCCAGAGTACTCAGCCTACCTCTCCGCAGAGTTCTACCAGTCACGGGGCGCAGAAACAGAGTACTGGGGTTCGAACAAGAGCCCAGCAGGCGAGAGTGCAAGTGATGACTCACAAGGAAGTTGCGGCCACCGACGTAATCACGGGTACCTTGCCTATTAACTCTGATTATGCGCATGTTTTATTTGATTCGAGTGCGTCGCACTCTTTTATTGCTCGATCTTATGTTTTGAAACGAGCCTTGCCTGTTGATACCTCTGATTGTGAACTGCATGTGGACACCCCTTTAAGAGGGGTGATGACTACTAGGGAGATGTGTAGGACTGTAGATATTTATATTGATAGTAGACAGCTGAGTGCTAGTCTGTTTGTGTTAGATATCTCCGATTTTGATATCATTTTGGGGCTAGTCTGTTTGTGTTAGATATTTCCGATTTTGATATCATTTTGGGGATGGATTGGCTGTCAAAACACTTTGCCTCTATAGACTGTCATTGGAAATGGGTAATTTTTAATATTCCTGGTGAGCCAGAATTTAGTTTTCAAGGCAGTGGTTCTTTTGCTCCACCCGTGTTAGTATCTGCCTTGCAGGCTCAGAAATATCTTGTAAATGGTTGCCAGGGTTTCCTAGTCTTTGTTACTGATGCTAGTAGTGTGACATCGAGACTAGAAGACATACCGGTAGTGCATGAGTTTCCGGATGTATTTCCGGAGGATCTCTCAGGTTTACCTCCGGATAGAGAGGTTGAATTTGCTATTGACCTTGTTCCTGGCACTGGACCCGTTTCCAAAGAACCATACCATATGGCTCCTGCAGAATTGAAGGAGTTAAAGGTCCAGCTGGAGGAACTCCTTGAGAAAGGGTTTATACGCCCTAATGTATCACCTTGGGGAGCTCCAGTGTTGTTTGTCAAGAAGAAGGATGGGAGCATGAGGCTATGCATTGATTACCGGAAATTGAATAAGGTGACTGTGAAGAACCGGTATCCCCTTCCTAGAATTGATGACTTGTTTGACCAGCTCAAGGGTGCTCAGGTATTTTCTAAGATTGATCTGCAATCTGGCTACCACCAGGTGAAGATTAAACCAGATGATGTGCCAAAGACTGCCTTTCGCACCCGTTATAGTCATTATGAGTTCATAGTCATGCCATTTGGCTTGACAAATGCCCCTGCCATATTTATGGATTTGATGAATCGGGTGTTTAGCAAGTACCTAGACCAGTTTGTGGTTGTCTTTCTTGACGACATTTTGGTCTACTCTTCTAGCCATGCTCTTCATGAGAAGCACTTGAGGACAGTCCTCAAGACGTTGAGAAGGGAGAGGTTGTTTGCTAAATTCAAGAAGTGTGAATTTTGGCTAGATAATGTTGCATTCCTAGGTCACGTTGTGACTAAGGATGGAATTTCTATTGACCCCCAGAAGATTGAGGCCGTGGTTGATTGGAAAAGGCCGAATAATGTTGCAGAAATCCGTAGTTTTCTGGGATTGGCTTGTTATTACCGTCGATTTGTGGGGGATTTCTCTAGAATTGCTCTGCCCATGACTCGTCTTATCAGAAAGGACACCAAGTTTGAGTGGACCCCAGAGTGTGAGAAGAGCTTTTTGACCTTGAAGGAGAAGTTGGTCACTACTCCTGTACTTGCATTTCCAATTAATGGGGAAAGATTCACTATATATAGTGATGCCTCTAAAAAGGGTTTGGGATGTGTCTTGATGCAAAAAGATAGGGTTATTGCATATGCTTCTCAGCAGTTAAAGCCTTATGAAGAAAATTACCCTACCCATGATCTAGAGTTGGCAGCCGTGGTATTTGCACTCAAGATCTGGAGGCATTATCTGTATGGTGAGACTTGTGAAATCTTCACTGATCACAAGAGCCTTAAGTATATTTTCACTCAAAAGGAGCTTAATATGAGGCAGAGGCGATGGCTTGAACTTTTAAAGGACTACGACTTGACCATTAGCTACCATCCGGGCAAGGCTAACAAGGTAGTAAATGCGTTGAGCAGGAAGACCTCTGGCACTGCCTCTAGCATCCTTGCCACTCAAAAGGAGTTACTTGAGGATCTTGTGAAACTGGATGTGGAGTTGAGAGTGGACAGCACTACGGCTTATCTAGCCGCCCTCAGTGCACAACCGGCATTAATAGATAGAATTAAACTTGCCCAACAAAAAGATTCCTTCTTACAGAAGATGAAGGAAAAAGTAGGAGCCGGGGAAGCCCACATGCAAGAATTCAGGATTTCTGATGATGAGATTCTGTGGTTTGGTGACAGGCTGTGTGTACCAAGAGACCATGCTTTAAGGCGTGAGATTATGGGAGATGCCCATTATACTAGCTATACAATCCACCCAGGGAGCACCAAGATGTATCGTGATTTACGTAGTACATTTTGGTGGCGGAACATGAAGAGGAGGATAGCTAGATTTGTCTCACAATGCCTGACTTGCCAAAAGGTCAAGGCTGAACATCAGAGACTTTCTGGAAAACTGCAGCCGTTACCTATTCCTCAGTGGAAGTGGGAAAACATCACCATGGACTTTGTGACTGGATTACCACGAACCTTTAAGGGTAATGATTCCATCTGGGTCATCGTTGATCGATTGACCAAATCAACTCATTTCTTACCCTACCGGACTGGCACCTCCATTGAAAAGCTTGCCAATACGTACATGGATGAGGTAGTCAAACTGCATGGAGTCCCTGTGTCTATTGTGTCAGATAGAGATACCAGATTTTTGTCTCATTTCTAGACTAGCTTGCAGCAGGCACTCGGTACTCAATTAAATTTCAGCACGGCCTTTCATCCTCAAACTGATGGGCAATCTGAGAGAACTATTCAGATACTTGAGGACATGTTGAGGGCTATTGTTCTAGATTGGAAGGGTTCATGGGATCAACACTTATCCATGGGTGAATTTGCATATAATAATAGTTATCAGTCCAGCATTCGCATGGCACCGTTTGAGGCTTTGTATGGTCGAAGGTGTAGATCACCTGTTTGTTGGACGAAAGTGGGCGAAAGAAGCATTTTAGGCCCAGAATTGGTGCAGCAATCTTCTGAGATTGTGCAGTTGATCAAGGAACGCCTTCGTGTTGAACAAAGCAGGCAGAAAAGCTATGCAGATAAAAGGAGACGAGACCTGGAGTTTGAAGTTGGTGACCATGTATTTTTGAAGGTGTCACCCACTCGAGGTGTTCTCAGGTTTGGCATCCGGGGAAAATTGAGTCCGAGGTATATTGGACCATATCCTATCTTGGAAAGGATTGGCGAGGTAGCTTATAAATTGGAGTTGCCTGGAAATCTAGCGGGTGTTCATGATGTGTTTCATGTGTCTTTACTTCGGAAGTATGTTCCCACCCGAATCACATCATTAATCCCGAACCAATTCAACTCCGGGAGGATCTCACTTATGACGAGCACCTGATCCGCATTTTAGATTTCAAGGAGAGGATAATGCGGAAAAGGACCATTCGTTTTGTTAAGGTCCTCTGGGACAACCATTAGATTGAAGAAGCTACTTGGGAGTTGGAATCCAAGATGAGGCAGGAACATTTGCACCTCTTCCAAGATTGAGGTATGAGTTTAGGGGACTAAACTCCTTTTTAGGGGGGGTGGATGTAATACCCCAAAATTTCCTAGAGCATTAAGTTGAGTTAGGGACTTAATGGTGAGGAAACATTATTAATGGACCTAACCTTCAATTTTTCAAACTCCAAAGGGGTTAAAAGGTGTTTGGATAAGGCCGGCTGACTCATTTCTTTTTCCTTTTTCTTCTTTCTTTCTTTCTTCCCAGCCATTTTCGCATCTGCTCTGTTTTCTTTCCCCTCTGCAACAGAACACCACCAGCCTCCACCAACACCTACTCCTCCCGAAAATTGGTAAGATCATGGTAAATTCTTTCCCTTGTCTTGTTAAATAACAAGATTTAGAGCTTAAAACTCTCTCCCTCAACCCAGGAATCCCAGATCTGCTCTGCTTCTCCCTTCCCTGCCGCCGGCTGTTGCTGGGTATAAGCTCCAGTTTTTCCTGGTAAAACCAACCCAGAAACTCCTCTTTTCAGCCTTGATGTATGTTGGGTTCACCCTAATCTTTGTTCCTTTCAACTGCTAATGGTTCCCGAATTTCTCTCCAATTTTCCCGCCAGCTCTTCCCCTCAATCTGCAGCTCCAGTTTGCTAGTTGAGGATTTTTGGTAAGTTAGCTCCTCTAATCTCCGAGAATTGGTTGATTAAGTGCTAATTTGTGAGTTTAAGTGGTTGTATGAAATGGGCATAGGTTGTCCGAAAATTCTGTTGAAATAGGGATGAGTTTTGGCCATTTGAAAATGGGCTTTGGTTGATGATTTGTGTAGGAAATTAGTAGGTTTGATTGTTGTGTGATGTCCAAGAGAAAAGGGGAGAATTCCGTGAATTGGCCATTTTCTGTCAAGGCCGGTTCTCCCAAATTCCTGTCCATTAGTTTGAGAAATTGTATATCTGTAATTGTGTAATTGTGTATACATAGATATTAATTGGGAACATTGTGATTAGGTCCTTGATTGTCCTGTGGCCTTAGCACTGGGATTAGGCCTTCTGTCCTGTGTAATTAAGGTAAGTAAATTATGGTAAAGCCCTTCGATTTTAAAACATGTTTTAAATTGTTTTTGAGATGGTGGCAAGGTTTAAATTGATTTTATCAGCATCTGAGTGTGATTTAACTGAAATGAAACTTGTGATGATTTTTATGAAAGATTATTATTTTCTGGAATTGAGCATAATTGGAATGAAAATGAGAATTTCATTGTTTTCTGGAATTGAGCATGATTGGAATGAAAATGAAAATTTCATTGTTTTCTGGAATTGAGCATGATTGGAATGAAAATAGGAATTTCATTGTTTTCTAGAATTGAGCATGCCCACATGAGATTCTTCGGTTTATTTTTGAAAGTGAGAACGATCGTGAATCGTGGTTTCTGTAAATCTTGCTTGGTTTTGTCTCCGATATGGTCGTGTAATCGTGCCCCCGCTAGTGGGGGAGGTTACAAACGCTAGCACATGTCGACATGTTCGTGATAGAACCGGTTCGCTCGTGGCCCTACTAGTGGGGATTATACACTAGCACTCGTGGCCCTACTAGTGGGGACTATACACTAGTACTCATGTGCCTGCCAGTGGGAGGTTTATAACACTGGCCATGACTAATAGAGGAGACCACTACGTGATTTTACTTGCATTAATGATTTGTTATTGAAACGCTCTGTTCATGTTTCAACCAATTATTTGGCATGCTTTAAACTTTGATGTCGGGCCCCCATGTTTACTTACTAAGATATTTCTATCTCACGATTTCCTTGTCCACCATTTCAGGTAGTGAGACCCGGCGTGTGGGAAGTCCAGGGGAGTGACGAGCTAGACGGCTAGGCATTTTTGGATTCAGTTTTGTAGCTAGGCCGCTAGTCACCCATGCTTGACTTAGAAACTTTTGTGTACAGAACTCCTTTAGTGATAGTAAGGATTGTATAGATGAAGTTATAACTCTGTGTACGTTTTGGCAAGTAAATAGTTGGAAAGGAAAAGAAATTAGATATTACCTGAGTTTCTAAATCTGAGTTAGTGATATGAACTTAGAAATTTTCGAGCCTTGTGCATTTGTGGGACCCTCTCACAAGTGCACGGCGTCTGCCACGACCTCGGATTTGGGTTCTGGGGCGTGACACATCATGATAGGTCTTGTTATCTCCCCAACTCTTAATGCTAACATTAGTGCTATTAACACTCCAAGGTAGTATTCTTGGCAAACTATAGCTACAGTTTCTCTTTAAGTGGGTTTTCCTCTGTTACTACTTGTTATCCCAATTTCTATTCAACTCCTTTTTCTATAATTTAATTTTCATGCAAGTCAATTTTGTTGCTCTTCTCAACATGCTACTTGATCGTAATATGATCCAATTTGGTTTATCTAATATTTAAAGGGCTTTTTGGCATGCACCTCATGTATTTGAAGGTTTTAGTCAACTAAGTGTATGTTATGTTGCAGGAGAATTAGAAGAAATTGGGGGGATTCTTGTTATGTTACTCTATTTTGCGAATTGAGGTTTTGTTTAATCATGTAAGTTGGATGATTCCCTGATTTTGGATTCTAGAATGAGTTTCTTCAAATTATTTCAGGTTGTGATGATCCATATGAGAATTTTTTCATGCGATCTGTTTATTTCAAAGCGGTTGCCTTGGCAAATATTCTAGTGTACGAGAATAAATCAGCTAGTGGAAGGCACTTAAGTGTTGAAGCTATTACTCATTATGCTGATGGACGAGAATTTTTAGTTAAGTTTCCTGTAATAGGTGGTTTGATAAACTTCTCAAATTTTACTTTTTAGTTAGATAAACTCCTCGTATTTGTATTTTGTATTATCTCTATAATTATTTTTTAATTAATATAAATTTAAAAAACATCTTTATTTTACTATTTTTTATTATTCCTTTTTGTAATGTTTGAAATCATTGTAAAACATTTTAATAATCACAAAAGTTGTTTTATATCACTTTTAACAATGATACACATTGCTGCAAAATTTTAGTTTTAGAAAGGACTGAAGGTTGTTACAAGATATAATTTTTTTGCAACAATTTATGGTGCTAAATAATATAGTTAGCAACAACAAATAATACACTAAAAAGGGTTATTGTAACCAATTCATAATATTATTGTTGTATTATAAAATTTTTAGTAATAATTTTCATTGTTGTAAAATACTAGTTTTAAAAGCAATTAAAGATTGTTACAAGATATAACTTTTTGTAACAACTTATGGTGTTATTAAATAATATATTTAGCAATGACAAATATTATTATAAAATATTAATTTTAGAAACAATGGAGGTTGTAACAATATATAATTTTTTGCAACAACTTATAGTGTTGTTTAATAATATATTTGGCAATTATAAATATTGACACTAAAATGTGATACCATAACCACCATTTCATTGTTGCCAATAATCTTTAGCTATAGCTCATAAGCATAGGTATTTTCCTTTGCCTCTAGTTTTTTAAACACAGGTATAGAGTTGTTAACCTTTTATATATAACAGGTAAAACTATAAGAATATGGCCATAAGCATAACTAGATATCTATAGTTACAGTACATACACCTACACTTTTTTGTCTATAGGTGTAAGCCTTAAGGGGCCATTACCTACGGTTTCTTGCCATATAATTATAGTTTTTATCTATAGCTATATGGAAAAAGTTGGCACATTGGAAGAGGCTCCCCAGTGTTAGAGATGGTGAAATTGGTTGTCTATCTACTTTGTAGCCCAAGTTGATGCCCTTACAATTATTACATTTGTAATCTTATAATTTTGGTGGCTTTTTGCACTTAATCAATTGTCCAGATCCTTTTCCAGGTGCTATCACCTATTATATACTGTAGGTGTAACTTCAAAGTCCTCTGTGAGCGTTTTCAGAAATTTTAATCTGCTGTGCAATCTCAATTTTCCTTCGCCTATATAGCGCCTATCATAGGTTTAGTTGATGTACTAAATTTGTTTATCAATGAATTTACGACTTTCAAGGGGAGTATATGTAGAATAGGGAGGAACGATTTCTACAAAACGGTTTTGGATTTTGGGACACAACGTTGTGGGTATGAGGTATCCTCGGCAAAAAGGAAGATGAAGATACAAAAATCAGAGGCTAAGGCTCTACGTAATATAGCTGTGGTTTTTTCTTTTTTTTAGTTTTTTTTTTTTTTCATAATACAACTATTGAAAATCAAAATTAAAAATAAAATTAAAATAAAAAACTAACAATTTATTTAAGATAAGTTTTAACTTTCACAACTAAAAAAAAAAAAACTATTTAATAGTATTAAAATTATTTTTTTATCTCATTATATTATAAAAATGGTTAAAATTAACAATAATTCTCAAATAAATTTCTAATGGACCTTTAAAAATTTTCAATAAACCTCTTAAAAATTTTTGATAAATCCCTTGAAAATACTCTAAAAACCTCAAATAAATACCTAATAAACCTCTTTTAAGAGTTTAAATCCAACCTCAAATTTAAGAGTCTAATATTCCAATTTAAATAGTATATTATTACTTACCTTTAATTCAACTTATAAACTTTAACTTCAATTTTAATTAAATTTAGACTCAAAATTAATAATCATATATATTATATGTAGAATTTTTAGAAATTGCATTATTATCTTATTATTTTTCTTACTATATTATAAAAATTGTTAAATTTTTCAATAAATCTCAAATAAATACCTAATAGACATTTTAAAATTCTTAATAAATCTTCAATAAATACTAAAAAAATATGTAAAAGGCATTTTAAAATTTGCAACAAAATACCAAATAAATACCTAATAAGCTTTTTAAAATCCAAATTCAATAATATCTTTATATCTTACTTCTTACTATATTATAAGAATTGTTCAAATCAAGAATAAATTTTGAATAAATTTCCCGGAGTCTTTTAAAATCTTCAATAAATCCTTTTAAAAGTTTCAATAAGCTCTTTAAAATACTCATAAAATCTCAAATAAATACCAATAAACCTCTCTCAAGAAAATATGCACCTCTAACAATTGTAGCTTACTTTGAATAAAAAAAATTTTTGTAGCTTGCTTCAACATTATCATCATTATAATATAACAATATTAATTAATTAATATAACCATAACCATTATAATATAATTTTACTTCAATTATATTTTACTCTAAACTCAATCATATTTTTAATAATAATCTTTTTATATACATCTTTAATATTATATTTTACCTTACTATATTATAAAAATTGTTAAAATTTTTAATAAATCTTGAATAAATATCCAATCAAACTTTTAAAATCCCTCTATAATCTCAAATAAATATCAAGTAGGTACTAAATGGAACTTTTAAAATCCTTTTAAAATCTAAAATAAATATTCAATGGACCTCTTAAAAAAAATCAATTAAGAGGTTGAAACATGATTAAATTAAATTAATACTCTTGTCTTGCCCCAAAACCAGAAGTGAAACAGACGTTGTACACCTATGAGTGGGTCCCACAAGTGTACAAGGCTCAAAACTAGTTTAATATATTATGCGGTAATCCATATCTTCTAATAGTCTACTAAAATCCATAAAAAGAAATAACTTACATAATCTAAAATCTAATCTCAATCATTAATAAGTGAATTAGTCAACTAGTGCGCCACTCGCCTTAATCCCAAAGACTTAAGTCTTGTTACCTTAAATGGTGGATATGAAAAAAATGTGAGATAAATCTCAGTAAGTAAATTATGGGTAGCCATACTTTAATTTAAAAGAAAGTATGATGGATATAGGACATCGAAACGGTGCTTCTAGTTTCAATCCCCTAATGCATACTAAAAAAATCTCTTAATGGTCTCCTCATTTAGTCATGGCTAATGTTTACGCTCCCATTAGCAAGATAACATCAATAACTAGTATTTACACTCCTACTGGTAGGATAGTAGGAATACCTATGTTTACACTCCCACTGGCAAGACAATAGGAATCATGACAGAATTAGAGATAAAACAATGTTGACATTTGAATAGGAAACATAATTTAGATTGTTTCAACAGGTATATCTCATGAAAAAGGCATGCTCAAACTTTAATAAATAAAAATTAAGAAACTTAATAACAAGGCATGCCATGCTCATATCAACATAAATTAGGTCAAACCATACCACCACCTCAAATAGTTTAAAAATATGTTCTTAAAACCTTAGTTTAGAACCATTGGTAAGATCGCAAATTTACTTACCTCACTTTGCAGAAAATTAAGATTTCCTCAGGAACCAAGAATTTGGATATCAAAGATATCTAACAACTAGAGAGCAAAGACAAAAATAAAGCCAAGGACTACAAAATTTGGACACTAGATCAACATGAGCTTGAAGGCAAGTTTTGGTCAGATTCTGAGCCAAAACTTCCAACTAAATTTGCACCCAAAAAAATTACCAAACTGGGCTGAATGGTTAACATATAAATAGTAGCCCTATGTCTTAGCTTTCTATATGATCAAAAATCACCTTAATCCAAAATCTATAGAGGAAATTATGGTCAAATTACTAACATAAGGTCAGGTTGCTAATTCTAAATATCCAAAGGAACAAAATTGCAGTTGAGTTTTCGACTCAATAACAACTGAATTGGGTTGAACATTCAATAGAGAAATAGTAGAGCTA